CTTTCCGCCTCCCATCTCGGGACGCTGTTTCCTCCGTGGCAGCTGGAGGAGGAGAGGAAGATGAAGCCCAAGGCGTCACAGCAGTGTCCGATCTGCAACAAGGTGATTCAAGGAGCGGGAAAGCTGCCACGACACATGCGAACACACACCGGAGAGAAGCCCTACATGTGCACCATCTGCGAGGTCCGCTTCACCAGGTGAGTCGGGTTAAGCTGACACTAAAGCGAGTACCACAAATTTGAGCCCTCAATCCTAGTTAAAGAGCACAAATGAGAGACGATAAAAGTCATACTAGTCAAGTATATTTTTCAAAATTAGTATAGAAGTACTTTGTATTAAAAAAAAACATTATTATTAAATCTAATGTTTATATTATTTTGTTTTTAGCATATTAATTTAAAAGAACAATTAAATTACTATTACAAAAATTATTAAATTATTATTAAAGATAATAAATTTAATTTAAATGTTTATTAAATAACTATTAAAATAGTGCCACTTTTGTTTATAGCGCTAGTTAATGGGAATGATGGAGGGCATATTTTATATTTTTCTATACACTTAAAATTATTATTTACCATTTCATTTTATTATTTACACTTTATTTTATTTTTCTTACATTTTTATTTAAATTGTTATTAAATTCCTATTAATAATTTAGTTATAATAATTTAATTATTATTTACCATTTAATTTTGTTATTTACAATTTAATATTTTTTATTATTATTATTTTATAGTTTTAGTTTTCAATTTCTTATATTTTATTAAATTCCTATTTATCTTTTGCCACTTTTAATTAGAGTGATAGTTGATGGGAATGATGGTGGCTATATTTTCTATCCATCTACAAACTTCTAATTATTAACTTTTTTTTTTTTTATCGTTAATTATTTTTAGCATTTAATTTCAGTATTTTTATTATTTAACATTTTTATTTGCATTATTTCTAATTTAATTTTATTAAATTATTATTAAATAAAAACACTGAACTTTTATTTTAAGTGATAGTTAATGGGAATGATGGGATGAAAAGGAGACAATAGGATCATGAAGTACCACAATCTGGATTTGCATTGAAAAAAAATTTAATATTGTCATCATTTACTCAACCTCATGTCATTCCAAAGCGTTATGACTTTCCTTTATCTGTAGCTACTGTTTTTGTCCATAAAATTAAAGTCAGTGGGTTCCAAAACCATATCAGAATGTTAATTTTTGGGCGAACTATCCCTTTAACATTTCAGACTGTTTTTAACATCAATTCAATTAGATAGAGTACAAGAATAACACTTTAAAATGAACAGTCCTTATAAAGAACAGACATACTGAAGAAGTCAACCAATGTTTTACAATGACAGATTTACGAGAAAGAATTCTGACTTGCTGTCATCATGTAACACAGCAAACTTTTCCCTTCAAACTAATTACACTGACTGTCTACTAGAATAAATAGCCTCTTTGAAGCAGAAGAACTAAGCTTCAGTATTGCAACAATGAAATGGCACATGAAAACTAGAGCAGCATCATAAGGACAAACCTGCTGTGAAACACTTTATGCATCACTGTGGTCGGAGCCGCATGAGGTTTCCACACTGTAATAAAAGCCAAAGCATAGTTATGTTAATATAAGACCTACATTTCACTTTTGGGCTCAAACGCTCTGTAGAGGAATGAAATTTCGATGAGTGAGATCTAGACTGAGAAATAGATCAAACAAAGGTTTTTGAGCTTCTGGATAACTCATCTGGATACCACATAACAGGAACACTAAATCCGTTTTTTTGTTTTTTTTTCTGTCGCTGCTACTGTTGAGCAACTTGCAGCTGTCTGCTTTTCAAGTACGAAGGCGTACACCTGTTTGTGTGTTTTTCTGCATGCATGGTGCATCTTGAGGTTTTGCAGTGATTCTTACAGGTACGCAAAATAACCTCAAAACACAAACTTAAAAGAATAGCTCGCTCAAAAAATATAGTTAAAATTTTATCACAATCAGGCCATCCAAGATTAGGATGAGTTTGTTTCTTCATCAGATTTGGAGAAATGTAGCATTGCATCACTCGCTCATCAATGGATGCTCTGCAGTGAATGGGTGCCGTCAGAATGAGAGTCCAAACAGCTGATAAAAACATCACAATAATCCCTAAGTAATCCACACCACTCCAGTCCATCAGTTAATGTCTTGAGAAGTGAAAAGCTGCGTGTTTATAAGAAACAAATCCATCATCAAGACGTTTTTAACTTCAGACCGTTGCTTCTGGCTAATATTCGAGTCCAAAATCCATAATAGTGCTTCCTCCGGTGAAAAAAAGGACTGAATAAGGAGAGAAATATGCATCGATCAAGCACCGTTTAACAAGCCAAAAGAGTCTGAGGATTTTGATGTGAGAGGACAGCATGAGATGGACTTTTTCCACTGGAGTTGTTATGGTTTATAAATGCACATTTTAGCCAGAAGCAATGGTTTGAAGTTAAAAACATCTTAATGATGGATTTGTTTCTTACAAACACACAGCTTTTAATTGATTTCATTGTTAACTGATGGACCGGAGTGGTGTGGATTACTCGTGGATTGTTTTTATCAGCTGTTTGGACTTTCATTCTGACGGCACCCATTCACTGCAGATATTTTCATTTTTGGGTGAACTGTTCCTTTAATCGCTGTTTTTCTGTTTTTCAGGCAAGACAAACTGAAGATTCACATGCGCAAGCACACGGGCGAGAGGCCGTACATCTGCCTGCACTGCAACTCTAAGTTCGTACACAACTACGACCTGAAGAACCACTTGCGCATCCACACCGGCGTGCGGCCGTACCAATGCGAGCACTGCTACAAGAGCTTCACGCGCTCCGACCACCTTCACCGGCACATCAAGCGGCAGAGCTGCCGTGTCTCACGCCCGCGACGGGGCCGAAAACCCTCCTCCTGGAGGTCCACCAACTTCCTCTTCCCTCCAGATCCCAACGCGCTTCAAGCGGACAGGACCCTGCGGAGTCCCGCCGCCGGTGGCGCCCCCTTGCTGGCGAAACAGCAGCCTACAGGAGGAAAAACGCTGGAGGATGTCAACACGACCTGAAGAACCACTTGCGCATCCACACCGGCGTGCGGCCGTACCAATGCGAGCACTGCTACAAGAGCTTCACGCGCTCCGACCACCTTCACCGGCACATCAAGCGGCAGAGCTGCCGTGTCTCACGCCCGCGACGGGGCCGAAAACCCTCCTCCTGGAGGTCCACCAACTTCCTCTTCCCTCCAGATCCCAACGCCCTCCAAGCGGACAGGACCCTGCGGAGTCCCGCCGCCGGTGGCGCCCCCTTGCTGGCGAAACAGCAGCCTACAGGAGGAAAAACGCTGGAGGATGTCAACGGTGACAGCCGGGAGATGGACAGGAAGCTCATCTCAGAGGATGTGAACAGGAAGCGGGGTGTGTTTGCTTTCGCCATGGCGACGGAGGACGTTCTGCCACACCCGGCCTTCTATTCCGCGACCTCTGACCCCTGGGCCGTGAGACGAGCTCCGTCCATTCCTGAGGCCGCAAAGTGACTTTTGTTAATTCCTTGAAACAGCTGCTCGCTTCGGACGCCACAAAGTCTCTACGAACCGGGTTCAGACTCTGTAATATTAAATGAGAATGACATTTTAGTGTGTTTGTTTCATAAGTCAGCTTCCAAATGGGATGACAGGGATTTTAAATACTTTTTAAATGACTAGATTTGTTAATATCTTGAATGTGCATTTGTTCAAGCTGTTTTTGATGCTTCAGCGTTTGCTAACAAGGGTGATGCGCTCATAGACTGTCCAGTGCAATGGAGTATGTGAAAATCGAACGCAAAAATTTGACAATCAGGTATGCAGAAAGAAAGAAAAAGTCCTGCTGAATAAGCTAGAAGCTTTGATGTTTGCATTGTATTATCTGACAGGTTTTGTAATTGAACAGATTTCAGTGAAGCTAAATCCTAAACACAGGAAAATAACAAGCATTGTAATCCACTATGCAAAACACAAAAGCGGTTAAAGTTTTTTAGAATTAGCACAGAAACCACAAAGACTAAATTAATCAGAAAAACTCTCAGGATTAGAAATAATTTTTTAACAACAACAAAAAAGCCAGACTATGACGTGTTACACATAATCAAACGATTCTGCAGTTAATCATGCAATTAAACAAAAGAGAAATTTTTTCAAGATTTAAATTATTTATATTGTGCATTTCAAATTGACCCTTGATTAAATCGGATGCTGTTTAAAATAATAATTTGTATGGATGGCTTTCAGGTTCTACGGTGGAATTGTTCATTTTTGTAAGTGTTTCTATGCTGAACATTGTAAAGCATCCAAAGAAGTGCTGTTAAAGAACAAACTTGATATCCAATCTGTTTGCAAAGCAGTCTTTTTCACATATGAAGTGTCTTGGAGGCGCTTGACGTGTACAGGAAAATAAAGCGGAGGAAAACGTCCACAACTTTGATACCGTTCCTCATCTGAATGCCTAGAGTAATTCAGCATCGTTTAAACTGAAACGAAACATATTTTCATGCTATTTATGCATATTTAAATAAGCCTTGGCTATATTTTACTAAGATGTTTTATAAAGACACTAACACATTTGTGTTCTGGTTTATCTGTTTTTCAAGAGAGAATGTGTCAATGCAGTCAGTGTGCGATATTTGACATCAAACCCTCTGAATTCAAAAGAATACGGAAAAAAAAAAAAAAGCATTTAACAAGATTTTTCACTTCTGAGAATGAGAATTCAGATCATCTGGAGATCATTAAGTTTCTGCACTTCACACGAGACATTTAAAATGTTTTTATCTTGGTGTGCAAAATGCAAAGATGTTTTAATGGCCATGTACAATGAAGGTGCTTAAAGATGTGTGTGCGTGCGTGTATATATATATGAAGCCCTTCTGTGGCGACTGGTGGGAACTTACTTGCACTATTTGTTTGATGATATTGGTTACGATATGTTGATATTTCTTAAAGATTTAAAAGCATACAAAAAAAGAACATGTCTGAGATATGCACTTTACTCCTCTTTTACACAAGAACAATTTCAGTGAAAGTCTTTTTTATAAATGTGTGTGGTATTTGTATATTAGATTAATCCCGGAATCAAAGAACTGGAATAAAAATAAAAAAAGCTTTTTTATGTCTTTTATGGCTCATGTCTTTCATGGGTCATCTGGGTTTTATAGGTCATCTGATGAGGCTTTTATCTACAGCGATGAGGTCAAGTGCATTAAAGCTCTCTTTAGAGTATGCTTTAACTTTGAATGTCATACTCGAGGGTACAGCGAAGGCAGATTTGATCTAGCTCCTAAACGTCCAGCTTTCTGGATGATGGAGCAGATCTTTAACGGCTAACTTACCTCAACCTAAAATTACTCTGAAATCATAGCATGTGGTAGTTTGTTATGACACAAGGCGGTGAGGATCCAACAGACAGCCCTCTCTGGCACAATTAACCATCTCTGTGAGTAATCTAACCCCACACGCTATAACTGTGCTTTAGTAGAAGCCAGTTTCCCAAACACATGTTCCCAAAAAATGTTGTTTTGAATTATGAAGAATTTGTAAAGTCGGATTGCTATTAGATTAATTTAACTCCGTTAAATTAGTATTAATCTTTTTGAGCAGCAAGTTGACTTTCTGACAGTTACTTTTAATGACTAAAATGATGCATATTGCATGTTTGACTGACTCCAATTTTAATCAAATGAAATTATTAAAGATCATTTATATTTTCAGAATGAGGTGTTGTTTGAGAACAAACTTATTTTAAATTGCAAATCCGCTGAATGTCTTGAATAATTGAAAAGATTTAAAATAGGTTTACGGTTTTGCATCAGATTAAGTCAGCACAACTAGTCTTAATTTGCGTCAGTGCTCAAAGTTAAAAAGTTAAAAATAAAAAATGGGGCATTAACAATTACATCAAATACAACCGATTAAAGTTCACTTAAATAAAATATTCATGCATTTTATATGCACTCCCCTTTTATTGCTATCTAGCGCCCTCTACTGGAAATCAAGATAAAATACACCAGACAAAAATGATAAAGTGTAAACTTTAAACAGTTTCTCCCACGCTGTTCTTGAAGGTATAAAAAAAATACACAATTGAAATTATTTACTTAAGGAAAATATAAAACCACATTTCTCACTTCTCAAATAATAAAAAAAAGTTTTACCTGTAAACAGCTTGTTGCGGGTAAACAACCGTGAATAAATCAGTCCCATGCTAGTTAATAGACTCTTTCATAAATATTGCAATTATTTCATGCTGACAGTGTGTTGAACAAGAGCTCTGCGATTCTGAACTGTATGTTTCCATCATCTGTGCAACATTTGACCTCACCTGCTAGTGCGTTAATGTCGAAAATTGAGTCATACACATCCTAAACTTGCTTTGGCCTCCATCCATAAACTTTCTGCTTACTTTGTAATCCATATTTCTATTTCTTGTCATGCAACTTAACCGCGTGTTTACTTTTCGCACAACTCACGTGAATCCAATTCCAAATTGATTCATCATTTTGAACCGGTTCTTGGTTTTGCATCAGATTAAGTCAGCACAACTAGTCTTAATTTGCGTCAGTGCTCAAAGTTAAAAAGTTAAAAATAAAAAATGGGGCATTAACAATTACATCAAATACAACCGATTAAAGTTCACTTAAATAAAATATTCATGCATTTTATATGCACTCCCCTTTTATTGCTATCTAGCGCCCTCTACTGGAAATCAAGATAAAATACACCAGACAAAAATGATAAAGTGTAAACTTTAAACAGTTTCTCCCACGCTGTTCTTGAAGGTATAAAAAAATACACAATTGAAATTATTTACTTAAGGAAAATATAAAACCACATTTCTCACTTCTCAAATAATAAAAAAAAGTTTTACCTGTAAACAGCTTGTTGCAGGTAAACAACCGTGAATAAATCAGTCCCATGCTAGTTAATAGACTCTTTCATAAATATTGCAATTATTTCATGCTGACAGTGTGTTGAACAAGAGCTCTGCGATTCTGAACTGTATGTTTCCATCATCTGTGCAACATTTGACCTCACCTGCTAGTGCGTTAATGTCGAAAATTGAGTCATACACATCCTAAACTTGCGTTGGCCTCCATCCATAAACTTTCTGCTTACTTTGTAATCCATATTTCTATTTCTTGTCATGCAACTTAACCGCGTGTTTACTTTTCGCACAACTCACGTGAATCCAATTCCAAATTGATTCATCATTTTGAACCGGTTCTTTAAATGATTCATCATTTTGAACCGGTTCTTTAAATGATTCGAGCGAACTGATTCACATTTCACCTGCACGAGCTCTGTTTAGGAGCAAAACTGCGATGCTCGTGGTGTACAACATATGACTTAACCGTAAACATAGTCATAAACAGCAGTATTTAAATGTTTCTTTAACAAAAATAAATAACACGTAAAATGTAGACTTCTGTGAACTATAGATAAATGAATCGATTTGCTCAAACGATTCAGAAAGTGTACAAAACAGAAAACTCTTACTACGTACTCAATACTGCATAGTGTACACTATATTATGGTAGCCCGTTTCCGCCACTAAATAAAAAATAAAAAAGGTAATTGCACTTTTTATCTCGCAATTCTGACTTTTTCTCATTATTGCGTGATATAAAAAGTCATAAACTCACAATTCTGAGAAATAAAGTCAGAACTGCGAGATATAAACTCACATTTCACCTGCACGAGCTCTGTTTAGGAGCAAAACTGCGATGCTCGTGGTGTACAACATATGACTTAACCGTAAACATAGTCATAAACAGCAGTATTTAAATGTTTCTTTAACAAAAATAAATAACACGTAAAATGTAGACTTCTGTGAACTATAGATAAATGAATCGATTTGCTCAAACGATTCAGAAAGTGTACAAAACAGAAAACTCTTACTACGTACTCAATACTGCATAGTGTACACTATATTATGGTAGCCCGTTTCCGCCACTTAATAAAAAATAAAAAAAGTAATTGCACTTTTTATCTCGCAATTCTGACTTTTTCTCATTATTGCGTGATATAAAAAGTCATAAACTCACAATTCTGAGAAATAAAGTCAGAACTGCGAGATATAAACTCACAATTCTGACTTTTTTTCTCAGAATTGCCAGCTCTTATCTCGCAATTGTGACTTTATAACTCGCAATTGCGACTTAATGGCTCGCAACTACGATTTTATATCATGCAATTCTGACTTTATTTCTCAGAATTGCGAGTTACTATCTAACAATATGACTTTTTAACTTGCAATTGCGTGCTTGTATCACGCAATTATGAGAAAAAAGTCAGAATTTGTGAGATTATTGTTTTTATCCAGTGGCGGAAACAGGTTTCCATACTATATACTGCCTGCTAGAAAAAAGATAACACTTTACAATAAGGTTCATTAGTTAAATACCTTAGCTAACATGAACTAAGTATGAACAATACTTCTACAGCATTTATTAATCTTAATGTTACATTCACTAATGCATTATTAAAATCAAAAGTTGTGCTTGTTAACATTAATGCACTGTGAATCAACATGAACTAACAATGAACAACTGTATTTTTATTAACTAACATTAACAGATTAATAAATAGGCCTACTGTAATTAATGTATTGTTCATTGTAATGGAACATAATTGTAAAGTGTTACCCATATTTCATCATAACACTTCACACATTACAAACAGTGATATGCTATATTAACACAAGACTGGATGGTAAGGTGCTCTTAGCTAGTCATTTCTGCCTCATCCATTCCACTGGAATGGTCAAAAGTGAATTGCACTGCTACAGTACAACACCGTGCATGTGCTTTGTTAACTAATGCATATTTGGCAAATGAAGTACTCCATTTCAAGCATCCCAAGCACATAGAAAATGTAAATATAGTATAGAACACCGCAACAGTAAGGCTAGTATGGAAGAACACAATCCCAAATATAACCTGACTTTGAGAAACTATCCAAAACATGAATAGAACTAATTAAAACATTTTCTTAAGACTTAGTTGCATCATCCACCTTAAGGCACCGCCATTTTTACATTTGAATGCGATTTAAACATTCAAGTGACTTTACATAGTTTCTGCAGATTTTATGAACGTAAATTTAAGACCAAATAAAGAATATGCAAGGAATAAATTCTCTAAATAAATGCAGAGCATAAATTCTGAGTATGGGAAACCATACTTTACTACACATCAGGTTATAGTAAACTTACAATTTCTCTGAAAGAAGACTCGGCTTCATGTTCCATCTCAAGCAAACATTGATTTAAAAAGGTTTAGATATTTGAACTGAGAAACAAAACCCTAAAGTTGTGTTTTTTTTGTGCAGTACATGCAACATTTTATGCCGTGACTTTATGAATTAAACTTTTGGCTCTGATTTAAGACTTTTTCCAAGCCTTAAATTGTGGAAAGGCATATTAAGACATTTTTCATACCTGCAGAAACCCTGTAGCGGTTCATACTAATTAAAACATTTTCTTAAGACTTAGTTGCATCATCCACCTTAAGGCACCGCCATTTTTACATTTGAATGCGATTTAAACATTCAAGTGACTTTACATAGTTTCTGCAGATTTTATGAACGTAAATTTAAGACCAAATAAAGAATATGCAAGGAATAAATTCTCTAAATAAATGCAGAGCATAAATTCTGAGTATGGGAAACCATACTTTACTACACATCAGGTTATAGTAAACTTAAAATTTCTCTGAAAGAAGACTCGGCTTCATGTTCCATCTCAAGCAAACATTGATTTAAAAAGGTTTAGATATTTGAACTGAGAAACAAAACCCTAAAGTTGTGTTTTTTTTGTGCAGTACATGCAACATTTTATGCCGTGACTTTATGAATTAAACTTTTGGCTCTGATTTGACTTTTTCCAAGCCTTAAATTGTGGAAAGGCATATTAAGACATTTTTCATACCTGCAGAAACCCTGTAGCGGTTCATAAAGTCTGCAAAGTGGTATGTTATACAATTTTAAATCATAATCAAATCAAGTTGCACTGTATTTTGCATGTA